CACCTCTCCCAGCCTGTCCTCCCAGCAGAGGGGCTCCAGCCCTCCCAGCATCTCCGGGGCCTCCTCTGGACCCGCTCCAACAGCTCCATGTCTTTCCTATGTTGAGGGCTCCAGAGCTGGAGGCAGTACTCCAGGTGGGGTGTCCCCAGAGCGCAGCAGAGGGGCAGAATCCCCCCCTCGCCCTGCTGGCCACACTTCTTCTGATGCAGCCCAGGATGTGGGTGGCCTTCTGGGCTGCGATCGCCCATTGCCGCCTCATGTTGAGCTTCTCATCCACCAACACCCCCAGGGCCTTCTCCTCAGGGCTGCTCTCCAGCCATTCCCCGCCCAGCCTGGAGTCATGCTTGGGGTTGCCCTGACCCACATGTAGGACCTTGGCCTTGGCCTGGTTGAACTTCATGAGGGTGGCACGGGCCCACCTCGCCAGCCTGTCCAGGTCCCTCTGGACGGCATCCCTCCCCTCCAGCGTGTCCACCTCGCCATACAGGTAGACAAATGCTCGGGACACTCTCAGGTAGCTCAGCTGATCACTCTGTTTTGAGACGAAAGCGACAGGAAAGGTATTTTCCAGTGTTGGCAGCACAGATGACACACCGCAGGACAGAAGAGTTGTGAGACTGGAGTTCCCTTGTGTGGCAGCGGTAAGGTAAGAGAGAGTCGGTGGGATGTCTGCACAGCTATTGCATGGACATTGTCGACGAGCACAAACGCCGTCTCCAGCAGCCGACATCAGCACATTTTATGAACTCAGAGTTCTCAACAACAATTGTCTGTGACACAGAACAAAGCTGGAAATACATCAAGTATCAGGAAAGTTATCCTCTGTAAGCAAACAGCGGCTCTGGCATTTTGAAAAACAGAATGAGCTTTAGAAAGGGCTGAAGATGCCAAAAAGTTCACAGAAAACACAGAAGAATGAATATTCTCCCAAAGTATTGCTTCCGCAGTACAAACCCCTCCGTAGTTACCAACTGTTTCCATTCCCAGAAATAAGTCTTCATCCCAGTGGACTGTCATCGGCTGCACAAGCTGCGAGAGGGAAGATTAATGCACGCTGAGAGAACACGCTGTATTAGCATGCGAAGTATTCGCAGATCGTTCGTCATTTTGACTCCGACATGAACAACCTTACGTTTGCAAATTACTGGATATCAAAATAAGAATATCTTTTAAAGGGTAGAGGAATACAGGCAAGGTTATGCACTTAATTATATTTTATAAAAACAAGATAGGTAAATGAAAAGTTCGCACTAAAAAGTAAATAAATAGAAGAACTCTCCCTTCCCCAAAATCCAGACACGTGCAAAGCCATCTCCTCCCGACACGGCTTTGTGATCGCCAGTCGCATCCGGCAGCATTAAAGGCATGGCTAGAAAATGCCCATAGGCAAGAAGCAAAACTGACGGGTTGTTATTGTCCAAACTGAATTAAATGCAAAAAGCAACTAAAGATCTTAGGATAATTTTTAAAATATTTAGCTGTAGTTTTCTATGAGGTTACTTATAATGTGAACGTGAACTCTGTGATTTTCTTTATGCCCAAACGCATAAAACACGCACACGAAATGAGTCAGATCTGCACAGCGCCCTTGTGTATCCGGCAGAGTCCACACAGCAGCACGACTCTCAAATCTCTGAACATCAAGACAAAAAAAAATGGTAAAGTTATTGACCGACCCTTCGTGAAAGTCCCATAGAAGAGCCAAAGGCATTTTTACTGAAAAAACTATTTATTTGTTTAACATAAAATATCCAGTGTGGAATTAAACTATCCAATGTTGCATCAGTAACATAGGAACAAAAGGAGTATTTTACAACAAGCTCCATATACACAAAGTTTTTAAACATTAAAATGTATCCAGCTTAGAAACTGTACATTCAAACACAGGGAAACATTCAATGTTCTTTCGGCAAGCATTTAGGAATAATAAATCATTCCATCAAAGCACACTTGGAGAATTATTTTTCCCACAACAGCTTTGCACACGAACATATTGGACAGTTAGCAAATCTCTGAATCCCACAATTCTGTTTGCTCTCAATTTTTATTCAAAATTATCTCACTTTACTGTTTTAAATGAACTAGCTATATTAATTCCTTCATCAGTGAAAAATACTCGACAGTGTGTAAAACAATCTTTGGAGGCTTATTCTATACATCAATGGTGTTGCCGTATTAACAAAATATGACTTGTGATTATTTATAGGCTGTTGTGTGTCAACCCGAATCTTCTTCGGTTTTTCAGTGAACAATCTAAACCGTCCTGCCATTATTAACAACACGGAAGGATCTACAAAACCTGAACTTCAGTTTCTTCAGTGCCCAACAGGCTCCGACCAATCTCAGCGAGGTGGGACCAGCTGCGGGGGGCTTCTACCCGTCCCCCTCTATTTAGGTGATCCAAAGCCCACGAATACCCATGGGAGATTCTCCCAGACTTTGGTGAGCTCTGGATCACGCTTTAGGCATCACCGTCTTTAAATCAAAGACCCAGAGTATGAAGTTGGCTCCGCAGGACCCATCTTGGCATTTACACCACTATATACGTCTTCAATGCAGAATTCGTAAAAAGTGAAAAGCAAAAATGCCTTTGATTTTCTTTTAATACTGTAAATGTCACAGGTTAACAGTGAACTACTCAACAGCATGAAAAGGTTTTGCATTACCTATAAATCTTTACCTAGGAAATATTTCATTTGAAGTATACATGTATGCAAATTTAAAAGTATACTTCATCTGAAACTCTCTGAATGCACATGTTGAAGACTGTTGCAATGCTGTCCTTTAAAACTGTTGAATATTGACTCAAAAAACCGAAGCGACATGTGAACATTAACACTGGAAAAGCAGAACTTTAACTAAAGGCGCCCAATAACGGAGAAACAAACCCAGCAGCTAGGTGAGGTGAGGTGGCACTCCTTCCGGCCACGCGTGTCATGCCCCGTATATCCATTCTCGCCTCTAACGCAGGCTGAGTTCTCCTGAGTTCTACACACCGCTGAGTTCTCCTAGAGGCCATCCAGTTTTGGGGGGTACCCCGAACTGTAGACACGGCTAACGGCAAGCCCATGTGGCAAGAGGCACGTAAGCTCCTGGACGTGCCCCCATTGGGTGTGGACTGGTACACTCTCAAGCGCCCTCACCAGCAGGAGGAAGAAGATGGTAGTCAGAACTGCCATTCAAGGGTGAAGAGTCCACACTACGCAAAGGCGAAGCAGGTTTTCTAACTCGCTGTTCGCACGGGTGGTCTAATATCTGATCTAAACCCACCCAGGAGCTGCTTCCTCACTGCCAGTGTCCTGTCCAGCTCTCGCACGTGGGAGGGACATTCCAAGAGAAACGAGTCCATCTCTCTCTACTTCGAGGCAGCACTGAGCTACCCCAGTTGCACAGTGCGTGCAGGAGAATTACCCAACTACAGCCTGACAGAAGGAGACAAAACCAAATTATTTGCACTGGTTGTCAGCGCCGTGAGGGCCCTGTCTGTTAACTGGGGACCGACCAGAGCTTGAGCTTGCTGGAGCTCAAGCACACGGGATACACAGACAGCAGAGACAGAGAAAACCAAACCAGCCCGTGGCAACCGCCACCAGAACAGACGGTGTGTTCCTGTGTCATCAGCCACATCTGAAGCGGGACCCCCTGTGAGCTGAAGCGCATTTTCACATTACTGGGAAAAGGAAAGTTTGCCTGTTTAGACCAACCGCTTCTGGAGTCTTTCATCGCAGTCACCATCATCGGGCGGTAAATGAACGGACGGACATTTTGGTGCCTTGTCAAACTTTAACTTTTCTGAGCAGAAGATACCCCCGCACCGAATATCAATAACCACTTTGGCCTTTTTTTGTGAAGTCTGAGTTTCTTCCATTTCTTTAAGAAATTAACCCACTTCTAGTTTTCCTTCAGTGCTATAAACAAACAGCCTAACACGTCTTGGAGCATTACACTGCACTAGAGTGCTGTAAAACCCTAAGTGGAAGCTGAACCCCAACTGTGTTCATTGGTATTGCACCCAAACACGGACTCAGTGACCTATTCTCGCCCCACAGAAAAGGGGCCAGAAAGGAATACTTAAATATTCTACTGTGCAAAAGTTTGTTGCACGCTTACCTACGTTAACGTGAGACAACCGACCACACATACTATAAAAATGTATTGCTTCCCACAGCCTAGTGATTAGCATGTAGTCCATCTCACTTACATTTGGTTCTGTGTTCCAGTCTGGAATCCTGAAAACAGACTGAGACAGGGATGAGACACGTCTCAGCTTCCTTACGCGTTTCCCCGCTGCACATCCACAGACTCTGAAATCTGACTTCCTGCACAGTGACAGATTTCTGACAAACAAGACAAACTTATCCTCACCCGAACTCTGTTACGTTCCCCGACAAGAGCAGATTCATCAGCCTCGAGGAGCGACATCTGAAGGAGTGAAGTTCCTCGTCTAAGGATGACTGCAGTTCGGCTCTTCCCGTGATTTTTGTTCGTTTACGACACGACGCCAGCTACATTCCTTCGTCACCAGCTTGACGTTACAGTCAAGGTACAATCAGCAGCTATGGAAAAGTTCTGCCCAGCTGTCAGGAGGCCAAGCTTCTGTTGGGAGACACCTGAAAGCTGCTCCATCCAAACTGCGACACGCAGCTGTTGAGACTTGAGGCATTTTTATCAAAGGTTTTGGCTACACCACCGTGAGGACATACTTAGGCGAACTGAGCAGAAACATACCCGGACCCATGCAGAAAACCACAGCGTGCATCTCCACACACAAAGAGACACCAGTACAGCTGAAGCAGTCTTCACCAAGCAACAGACAGACTGCCCAACGATTCTGGCAATGTTAGAAAAGTAAAATTCTGCTCCAAACCAGAAGGATTTATGTTTCTTATGTAAGGTTCCATCTCTGCAACAAATACCACTCCTCACTGACTCAAACTACCTGCCAGGGATGAGAGAAACATTCAGAAAATCATTTCCAAGCAATCAGTGCCCATTAATTCTCAAGGAACAGAACCCAGAAGCAAGGGAACTAGAAAGCGTTGGTTGATTTGCCGTTACCACATTTTGTCGTCGTTGTGGTTGTTGATGGCTAAAAAGTGCAAGGCAGGCATCTAATTCATAAAACCTACTCTGTAGTGTATGGAATCCACCCTGTGCTACGCCAGGTACACAATAAATATTAATCTTTTGTTTTTAGGCATCAAGAGTACATTATTTTAATTACAGCTTATACTGAGTTGCATTCAGTTAGCTATTTGCTTGACACGGGACATTTTAAGCTGAAGAGCTGACCATGCAAGCACAACGGACTTAAGAAAAACCCTTCCTGCTAAACTCCAAATGATAACTGGATCAAACGCCTCTCAATACAGAAGTAAAGTTTTTATGAGTGTGAGCAAAGAGCAGCAGAGACACAATTTGCTTAGGTTCAACCCAAAAGTTCCTGCAGTTTGACACATGACATTGGCAGTGACGGTATGGTCAGCTTTCTACGCTTCAGGGTTGGATTTTTTTTGTGAAAGAGATCTTGCTCATACCATTCATTCTTTCAGCAGGTTCCAAGTCCCATCATTCCTGTGATCCGGAGTTTGACCTGGTGACCCCCGGGGAATGAGATCCTCTCCCAACCATCTCCTGGCCCCATTCTCTGTGGCTGGACTCCTGTAAGCCACGACCTTTAGTTTCAATGGGCAAGAAGCAGGAAGCCACAGCGGCCAGCAGGCAACATCCACTGTAAACTACCAGCGTTAAATAGACTGAAGATTCCAACATCACCTGCAGAAAGAGGGCAGAAAACACAGAATACTATTCCTGAGCCTTCTCACAGAAAGAAATATAAATACTAATGTAGCAGTAGAAATTTTAATTACAGTATTGGGAAAAAAGTGTTTAACATGCACTGCTGCACAATTTCGTTCCTCAGTGATGATACAGCGCTACTGAACATGGACAAAACAGTCTGGACTACAAGTGCCACGAGGTGCTGCCGCCCTTATGTATATGACAAGACTTAAGCAAATCACAAGTTTTCTACCTCGCGCTCTGCAGAGCCACTGGTCCTCACACAGTCTTCTGAGCCCTGTCCCCGTGGAGCCTGCCTCCCCCAACCTCCCTGCCTAGCTCCTTCCACGTGCCCTTAAGGTTTGCATCCTCCAGGACCGCAGCCTGGGATCTCAAGAGAAAGGTGGCAATGCACCACACGCAGAAACTCCTTGCCTCTCCCAAATCCCGTCTCCAGGTGGTGGGTTCCAAGGCGCCCTCAAATCCAGCCTGCTTCTTGGTTATTCATCCCCCATCATACGGACCTCCAAAGCAAGAGGTAAATTCAGAGATGAACCTGAACTCTCCTCCAGGAACAGGCAACAACAACCCTCCTTCAATACACCCTGTACAGATTGCCCTTGGTTTGGCCCTTACAGCAGAAAAGCAAGTTCTCCATCACCTTCCTGTGCCTTCAGTCGCAGGAGAAGGGATTTTACCTGTGCAATGAACGGGGTTATGAGGGCTCCCACTCTAGCCATTCCACTGCACGTTCCCAGGCCCAAAGCACGTGTGGCTGTTGGATAAACCTGTCAACAAAGCATCAGTCCGTTAACCCTAGTGGGAAGTTCTCTTCCCTCTAGTCTCCTAAATCAATGGAAATTCATAAGTGGTACTACAGCAAGTTCTGTTAGACAATGAGATCATCGACTTATATCTGGGGTAAGGTCCCTTGTGAAGAGGTCATAAAAAGGACTTTCCCACCATGTTCTCACTCCCCTTAAATATTCTCATTACAAAAACAACCTCCTTACCTCAGGAGTGTAAACATAAGCAGCCTGAAATCCTCCTGAAATAAAAGCTCTTGCAATGAAGAGCAGCACAGTAAGAACATTTCTGTGAGAATAAAAAGGAGAGCAGTGTTTGGGATTGTTCTGTACAATCTGTTTGTTTAGCTTGGAGGCAAGTGCAATAAAAATGCTAAATCGTTAGAACGATTTCTTTTGGGGTTTTTTTAATGAACCCTTTGTATTTTTTCTGGACCTTTAATACAACAATGATGCCAAACAATCTGCATTCCCACAATCACATCAGTTTTCTAAGTATGCTCATTCCAACCGACAGCTGTGGCCTATTGAAATAATCAGCAAATGCCTAAGCTTATCTAAATAAGAAAAATGTATTTCACGTTAAGAATGGGGCTAATAAAAAAACGGCACACACGAGAAGGAGATGAGGGTGCAGCTTTCCTGTTTAAAAGACGTGAAGCTACATACCACCTGCATATTTACAATTTCTTATTACAAGGTTTCTGTACTATAAGGTTTTTTACCGTGCCTGAAAAGGTTTAAACTCCGAGAGCTCTCCTCTGGCTGTTAGGCCATTTCCTTGTTCGTCAGCCCCAAGGTACAGACATTGTCACACGCACGTGGCATGAAGGCCAGACGCAGTCAGAGGCAGACTCTAGGAGCTCAGCTGGAAATTTGGTACCGTTAGGATTCAAGGGCAGAGCTGCCAACTGACTCGTTCTTTGGAAAATCTGCATAAAGCACAGACGCTGAACAATCCCAAAATGTGAGCCCACGTTCTTTTGGAAGTCGGGCCCCATGCAACACCAGCATCAGGCTCCGCCAGCCGCACTGTACACAACTTTGGGGTTGTGCCAGTCTGTGTCTACTGCTTCTCTTGTGACTGTGCCACAGCATTTCGGCCACCAAGAGCCCGTGACAAGTGAATCAGTCCGAGCAGCTGAATGGGAGGCAGAGACTGGGCTTGGTTATGAAGTGCTGCCCCGGGACAGTCAGCCTGGGGAAACACAGGTAATGAATGGCAGAAAGCAGTACATGAAACAGCTACCGAGGCTCATGACATCAGATCTGATTCAAAAATTGTCCAAAGGTTACCTCCTACTCAGACACGAGCTCTTATTTTCCCATTTGGATTGTTCTGCCCACAAAATTATAGTGAGACATTTCTCCTCTCCTGCTTCTTTTAGTTTCCTTCCAAACTCTGGCGAGAAAACCTAACACCATCCTTAATTCTTTCTCCAGTTGAACATGACCATCTTATGGCTTTTCAAACCACCACTTCCAGTTCTCCTGCCATAATCAAGAGAACATGGATGAATCAGATATACCAGTCGTTTACCATGTTTTACTTACCTTCCAACGCAGAGAAACAGCAGAAGACTGCAAAACGAGAAGACAAAAAAGGACAGGGCCATGGTTTTCTTGCGGCCTATCCGATCAATAATCCATAGTGTTACTAACACACCTGTAGAAGGAGACAAGTTGACTGGTGGGAATTGAGCAAAGGTGGAGGCTGCAGCAGCTCGCTTTTAACCTAGGCTGGGTTATTTAGATTTGAAATTTTGTTCTCTCTTTCTTTACAATACTTTGCTGACAGAGGCATCAGACAGGGGTGTAGGATGGACTGCCCTAGCCACACGTGGTGTCACGTGGAGACAGACGTCCTGTGTCCCAGCTGGTGAGTCTTTGCTTCATGTTCACAGCCCCACTGGTCCACACATCCACGTGCCCACGCACTCAGGGGCTGCACACTGACGTAGGAGCGAGCAAACAGCTCTGACATCTCTTAACCACTGATTTTTGCAGTGGTTACCAATATGAATGCTAAAAATGCCTGCCTTATGTCTCATTGGAATATCTTTTGTTCAACTTCTGACCATTGTTCCCTGCTAATCCTCCTATTGGTAGATTTAAGGGCTCTCTAGAACTTAACATTTTCTTTCCATTGCGTTATTTATATGCTGCCGTCAAATTATTTCTCACCTGCTCTTCGATAAAGGAAATAGCTCAAGCTCTGCAAGTCTCACAATATTAAGTCTTCCCTCCTATGCAACTTTTCCAGATCCTTTTAAAAGCCGATGTCTAGCAAGAGCGGGGATTATTCAAGCATCAGAGTTGCCAGTGTCATATTCAGAGGTATCCCTGTTAATATTTCTTACTCCTACCTTAGTATGTGTCAGGATCAAATCAGTCCTTCCAGCTACAGTATCAGTCCAAGATTACCATCTCTCTTTTCTGTCCCCTGTACACTGACATCCTTCCCAGAATGTCTGTTATGCAGGACAGCCCTCCTATAAGGTAGCGACTTTGCGTATTTATCAATCGTAGACTTACGACTTTTCACCAATTAAATGGCTTCTCTTTGAGCATTTGTCCTTGAAATTATAATCTAGAGCAGTGAAAATAACCTGACCACTGCCTCACAGTATTATTTCAAACAGATTAATACTGAGAGATCACCTTCTACATCTGAAGAAAGGACAGCTATAACATACTATCTTGCCTGTACTGTGTCAGACTGTTCATTGAAACTCACTGAAATCGCCTGGAAATCATGGCTGAGGCTGGACACAGAGCTTTTGGGACCAAGGTCTCCATTGACTCACTATACCCACGATCCTTTTAAAATAGTTCTGGAAAGTCATTTACAGATAAAAGTTCAAGTGATTGTGCCCCTTTGATTTAATTGTTACTCTTCCCCTGAATGCCTAATACGTTGCTTGGATAGAATCCATAGTCAGATGGGCCATTATAGCGTCACAAAGCAATTACTAGTGATTTTTATCTGTAGCGATCACATGGGCAGTGAAGAGAGCTACAGCTACTGTGTGTACTGCATACATCAAGTAGTCTAAGCAAGGAGCTCCAGCGCTGCGGGAAATGCATTAGGCCAGACCGAAGAGCCCATTTCATTGCTCCTACCAGAGCCCATTCCAATCACACGGAGCCACCGGCAGTGAAAAACTGGAGCTTCTTATTGCCACTTACCAGGGAATTCTGACAGGGTTGTCCAGAGCAGATCGGTGTAGTCTTCCTCTGTCAGATACTCACAGGTCAGGCTGCACTTTGCTTTAACTTCTTTCCTTCTACTGGATACTGTGGGAGGAAAAAGAAAAAAAACCCAAAATTTAATATATTTTAGGTAACCTCTTCTCTGCTTACCTTCCTTTACTCCTGCTATGTCTTTATCACTCTTTCTGCTGAAACCAATAGAAGGGATGTACTGAAAAGACCCTGCCGCACAGCAGGTACGCTCTACCTGGATGATACAGCTGAAACTGAACAGTTTATAACCTTATTTGTGGCAGGATGTCTTACCTCTGCAACCATCGCTATCAGAATGAATACACTTCCTTACCAGCTGTACAGGCTTAGTCATTTTTCAGTCCAGGGCTCATGACAGTGAACAGAATTAATATCAATAATTCAGTTTCTCCCTATGTAAATTGGGATACTAACACTTCATCTATACTTTGAGAAGACTGAATAATACCGTATCCTTGTAAAAACAAGGATTTTTAACGGATGCACGCTCCTTTGTGGAGGCTAACCAGAGTTAGACCTCTGTAATAGCTAATACACTGTCGTACAAGCTTGGGATTTGTGTCTTATCCCAATACTATCCATTTTCTTCCTATAATTTTCCAACTATCAGACAGTTTTCACTAATTACAAGTGTTCTGAATACAATCATGCCCCCCCTAGGGAGTCACACTTTTCAAGCCTCTTCTTAATGCGGTCAAAGCACTTTTTTTTTTTTTATACAAAAATTTGCAACAAAAAGGGCAATGGTTTCCCACCATTATCTTCTTTTTCTCAGCAGGTCTTCACATCTTGAGAGCCTGGGAGCTCCACAGCAGCAGCAATCTCTATCTCAGAACTAATTAGGCCCTGTCAAATCTGGAAACTTACATTTATTCAATCACTTTTTTCTCAAGAAGAACAGATACTTTTTCTAACAGGACTCCCTTGAAGGTTGTCTTGCTGTTTTACATTTTGGGCTCAGAGACACTACAGGACCTCTCCTCATTGTGCAGGAGATGAGGAACAGTCTATCAAAAATGTTTAAAATAAGTAACCCTTTAAGCGGATGCCTTAAAATTCAGGCCGGCAGCCACAGTCCTTTCCAAAGTAATAGCAGAAGGTGATCTAATAAAAGATATTCCACCACTTAACAGGGTATATTTAAAAAGAAAAAATGGATTATTACTCACTGCTGCAGACGTCTCCTGCTTGGAAGAACTCTGTAGTTAATAAAACTAACCCATAATATGAAAAAGCATTGGAAAACCTGCAAGGAAGAAAATGAGAGAGGAAGTCTCAGCCGGTCAAACCTGTAGTAAACAACGTGAATCAAAATTGAACCCACTGGGTGATGACTTCCACTAAGTGCTCCCTCAAAGCTATTTCCTATCAGCGTTTCCAAAATGAAAGGGCAATTAGATTGAGAACGCTAGTGATTGCGTGGTTTAATAAATTACAAATCAATACAGGTTGGGTTGGGTTTTTTTTGAGGAGGAAGTTGCTGTATTTTAGTGATATTGTAAAACACCTCCATTAAAAAACATTTAGAATCGTGCTGGCACTGAACCATTGATATTTCCTCTTACCATATAAACCAGAGTAACAACGTGGTCCATCTAAAATGGGGTGTAAAAAGGTCCCTCATTTTTCCTCGGTCTTCCTGTTGAAAACAAGCGGAAGTCAGATGATCAGAGGGCACTCACTGGTCCTGGACTGGAGGATGCAGAGGGGTAAGGGACAATACAATACACACTACTATGTGCTATATCCTAGGATGAGCGTTTGCTTTCAGCTGAGGGCTCTTCAGGTTGTAGGAGTCACACTGGAGTGGGGATGCAAGTAAAGAATTCCTCTGCCAAGGGGAATTCTCCAGGAGCATAACGTTATCAAAACCAGTTCACGCACAGAGCACACTACTCCTCCAGGAGGGAGGTGAGAAACTGTCAGAATGAGGTGGGGCTGAAAAGAGGTAGAGCAGAACTGCCAGTCCACAGGTGGCACACGATTCATGTGGCCCACAGACAGCTCCTCGAAATTACAGCAGCCCCTCAGGGATTCGGATCTACTCAGGGACTACAAGCAGACCCTTTGTAAACTGTGTGGTTCTTAGAGAGAGAGAGTGGAGGGCTCAGCACATAAACTTGTGGTTAAGGAAAAGTACTTTCCCACCCCACCCTGAAAACAAAACCATCCAAAACTTGAGAGAGCATTACCCCGACTGAACCAAATATTTGTGAAATGAACAAGAGCTCAAATCCTCACTGATCAGAACCTTAGAAAATCAAACCTCCATCTCTCATTAGTAGGATGCTGCCATTACCAACAGGCTCCTGCCTAACTTTACAGTTTTGCTGCTGTTCAAATCTACAAGTCTCCCTCTGCTGTCCCTCCTTGCTGGCTTTCTAACTTCCTTTTCTTATAAAAGTCTGCTCTTTGTTCTGTAAATGCAGAGCTGCTATACATGTTGACAGGGCTGCTGAAAAGTTGGCCATGTAAAGCTGAAATAAAAAAAAAAAAAATCCAGTGCAATTCATACAGTAATAGGCAGCTCAGAAGTAACAGCCTGAATTTCTCCATGCATTAGGACTGAATAGGAGCTCACAGCTTTCCCACTCCAGAAAATCAGGATTAGATTAAAAATGAGGTACAGCTAAAGAGTCAAATACCATCTTGTCTCGTGAGTTCTGATCTGAGTTCTTCAGTAGCTTCAAGGCTTGATTTTCTTTAATAATAGGGTCTTAGTGTGAGGTTAAATAACATTAATGCCCACAATAAAGGTCCTTTTCACTTTCAGGATTTTCATGTAAATAAAAATGAGAAACTAACTCTTCCTTACTGTGAAAGAGCCATATATGACCATCTCTCATTTTTTTACTACTAGTTGAGACATTAAAATTAAACTTAACATTGATTATTTGCTTATAAAAACTCATATGAATGTAGCCCAGTTTCATTGTACCCCACATTACTAATGTGCCTGTTACCTGTACATACCTGTCTGGAAATAATTAATTTTCCCAAAGGCATTGGAGCTCCATTCTCTGTTGCTATCCGCTTTAAAGTGGCGATTGCTTTTTCTTGATTTCCAGATAACACATCATACCGGGCACTTTCTGGCAGCCACTAAGAGAGCAAAGCAGAGCACATGCACAACGATGTCAAAAACACAGCAATAAAAAATACGGGGATTTTTTTGTGGGCTTACAGTGGGAAATCTCAGTGACTCCAACAGACTACTCACACAAGAAAGGACTGCAGAACTAATCTTTAAGAATTCAGAGAACCATCTTTCTGCCAAACTCCTCATTTGGCTTTAAGGAACTGCAAAACCCCACTTTCACCATAAAGTCAGAACTTCAGGCTAAAATCTTTCCCTTCTGTTATCTTGGGTTTATTCTGGAGAAATGTTAGGCATCTTTGCAGGCTCTTTACATTATACCTTCTCAGCAGGGAAAGCAAAGCATCCAGGGCAGATAACAAGATGCTCTAGGCACTCCAAAATTTGCATTTTTAAGCTCCTTTTAAAAAGAAGCCCAGTTAGCACCTGTATAACTGGAGGTATTCCTGAAAAACAATGACAGTGACTAAAGAATAATAAGAGCTGCTAAACAACCTGACAGGGACATATATCTTTGAGAAGACTGGGTGACTGACAAATATATTACCTAATAGTGCACTGAAGCTCAGGTTTAACTCCTATACATCTTATTTTAGAATCTGACCTGCACTATGCTGATTTTACCCTGATTCGGGTGGATTTTTAAGTGGTCAGTAATTATAAAAGCCATGATTTTGATGAAATAATTTAAAAATCTAAAGAGCAATCAGGGAAATAGCAACAGCTATTTAATAAAATGTTGATTCCACTGAGCTTAGTTGAAACAAAGTCATTAAATTGGAGAGATTTCCAGGCCTGATTTGGTTTCACAAAATTCCAGCCCACCATTGTCCTCCAGCAATTACAGTCACATAAACACAGCTCTCGCTGGAATGTTTTTACTAGCACCCTGTTGAAACAACAGCATTTTTGTCATTATTTCAAATGTTTCAAAGAAGACACCAACAGAGAGCTCAAAACCGTCAGGATTTCCTTCAATTGGGTTAAAGAATCAGGCAGAGAAGCGGTAGATTGAGGGAACATACATTTGTTTTGAAAGAATACCTACAAAACATAGGACAGCGAAGAGCAAGAGTGGGAGGGCAGAAAGAACGAGAAGCCACCGCCAGCCAAGAGTGGGCATCACCACCACTGCTAGAAGGACTTCAAACACAGTCCCAATGGCCCAAAAGACCTGGCAAAGGGAAAAGAAACAGTCACGAATGAGAATAAGAGTGCTCTTAAGGCCTTCTCCTTCGTAACATTCCAAGACGTGCTCTCTAGGGACAGCTGGAGAGAGAAATGCCAGAGACGCTTCACATAATCACCACCGTATGGAAATAGAGTCCAGACATTTTAAGGGGTTTTGTTCCAATGTTGCAGGAGTTTAAATGTTCAGTTCTGAAAACTTAATATCACCTTTCTCTAGACACTCATGTTTAACTGTAGGTAGCTTCTCATAAGGAATAGGCTCATCACATGGTGTCTCTTAAACAAAATTACTATTAATATATCCTTCTATGAGTATTATTCCCAGCTACCACCGTGAGATTTACGGTATTTGGTTTCCTTGCCGAAAATAAGCTACCAAAGCCACAGCGTTTGGCCTGTAGATGAAAGAAGGGATTGACACCTTCTTAGCAAATAATGGAGCTGGCATCCTCTTGCATATCCTACCCATACAGAATTATTCTCCTTTGGATTATGAATCCACTTAGCTCATTATTTAATATATTTCTAACCCGGGGTTGCTCAGAGACAGCCAAACTGTGGCATAACAAAAGTAACACAGAAAGAATTCATTCGTCTGCTGAACTCTACGAAAGATTAATCAACGGAATGTAGGACTAGCCAGCAGTTATCTTAGAAGATGGGTTTTGCATTGAGAAGCTGTTTCAGTTTGCTGAGGTTTTCCACAAGGACGCTCCTTCCAAACTGACTGATGCAGACAAGTAATAGTCCTGTTCTCTGACCCTTCAACCATCCATTAAAATATTTATAGGGCAAAATTCTGCTCTCTGTGACTTTGATACATTTGGATTGAATATGGGGACCTGAATTTAGCCCTGCGTTTACTGAACAGCCAGTTCTCCACTATCCGTTACCAAGTTGCAAATTAATTTCACCATGAAATTAGGTGACACCCAAAGGGCCCCCCTTGTGCGACCAGCAGGAACTTACGCAGCACTGGATGCAAGTTAATGTCTAAAAAGGCAGATTCACCAAAAAGAGTGGAGCGATTCCCAAATGCATTATGCTGGTTTGGGACCCGAGTGAGTTAATACTAGCGTATGGGGTAACCTCAGCTCCACAGAAACTCGGACAATCAAGATTTGAGTGCAGCTATGTGTGAGATTTCTAGTCAGCAGGATTGAATGGATGGAACCACCAGCAGAATTTGTCCCTCTAGGGACCAGTACGCATCGCTACAGCGCTCACCTCTATTAATAAAATGCATTTTGCTCTGGCTTTCATTGGAAGGAATTCAGCATATAAGGTTACCCTGTAAAGAGTGAACATTGAGAAAAATGTCATGTTAGCACATTGAGAAAAATGCCACGTTAGCACAATGAGAGAGGTTCAAACCTTTTGTTTGCCTTTTATTAAAATCGCCAAACCCACAGCAGTAACGCAAACCCCTTCCTAGCCCTCAGAGTCAGCAAGACTGCGGACACTGGTTCAGGCTCCCCTTTCTACAGCAGAAAAAAAAACCCTTTAGTTCAGCATTGCAATGGAGGACAGAATTTGCTCTCTTCGTGTGACTTTGTAACCCTGCAGTTGTTAGCTAGAGGTAGCAGCTCTTGATGCATATGTTTTCACAACCCTGCTCTGGTCTGGGACAGGCAGTATGCCTGTTATTTGCAGTGTGGTCCATCAGCATTCAACACAAACTCTTGCTGGGTGAAGTATTTCTTCAGGGCTTTACAGCTGCCTCAGAGAATTTCACATTGGTCTACTCCGCCAGTTTTCAGTTCTCCAAGAGGTGAATACTTCCAAGGTCTGCTATAAAACAATTTGCATTCTTTTATTGTGGGAATTCAGAAAGAAATCGTCTAACTCTGAAGAGTCTTTGTTTCATGACTGTGCCAAAGAGTAATGGTACAGCTTCGCTGTGAGTACTTCCTGAGGATGAACACAAGGGCCAGCAGCCAGTCAAGGCTCTCTTTTCTTCTTCAAACCATCTGGTAAGACTTGTTGTTCTTTGCTGCTGCTCTGTTTGCATTCCATTGACTCATCCTGTTCCTGCCTCTAAACTCCTCAGGCTTGCTTTGATGTTTGTGACAAAACTCCTACTAACTTAACAAACGGTGGATTGATCCCCAAGTAGCCTCCCAGAACTCAGTTCACTGGGGTACAAAGTTGCACACGGTATTATATTAAATCAGCAATTAAGAGGAGAAGGAAGTAAAATCCCATAATGAAATGCAGAGCAATCCCCTATATATCACAGCAGAAAACAGGACCTGATTAATGCTGTACAGAAGTGTTTTCTTAAGAGAATACTCCATATCTTTGCGAGTCCTTTGTTGGCACTGTGGATGAATAGTCATACCCAGCATTAGACAGTATCTTGCAGAAAATTCCCAGAGAAGGCCACAGCTTCTCAGGTGCAGCTCCTACATACGTATAGATAGAGGGATATCTGCTATAGTCAGTTAATTTATTATGGCCGGATGCTTTCTTTTAAATAGCACCTTTCATAAAATTCTCTCTCTCATACCCATTATAGAATACAATACTACAATTATAAAGATACCCCTGTCATTGCACTGAAATTCAGCCGCACGTATCCAAAGTTGCACAGCCTACTTAAGGATATTATAAAGGAGCTACTTTCCCTGCTTCATACACATTTACTCCTCCGTCAAAAGAATCACTATTATAGTTAGAACAAGAAACAGATTCAGCAGCAATGGAATCCACTCTGAGTTCTGTAACCGGCTCTTCTTTGTCTCTCATTAAGTCACGTAGCCTTTGTGCGTGATCGCCCCTCTGTAAAGCGGCACTAGCTGTGCTGGAGCTGTTCCACTGGGGCTCTGTGGAACATCATTAATATGTGTTTGCAGTACGAGGCATTATTAACTCCGACGCTTTGTCTTTGCGGTTCTCCTGCCTCATTCCAGTTGTGCTCAGCTGGAACTGCATGGCAGAAACTGCCTCGCTGTTGGTCAATGCACAGCAGGCTACGGACTCTCCTGTTTTACATGCATGTTATGCTTTTGTGCAGCTTCTAGAAGTGGGCAGGAGAGCAGTAAAAGAAAATTAATAATACTGTGTTGTTCCATCTCAGCTCTGAATCTTTTATCTGGGAACGGCAATAGAAAAGACAGGATATTGACTTGCCTTGTGATGAAGTCTATGAGGCATCAATCAAAGTTAGACTCTGATTACTCTGAAATAGCACCTCCATGGGGCAAATTATCAATTATTAATAAGGATAAAAGACTACACAGAGAGAGAATGGCTATACTCTTCTCTTTACATTTATAATTAAAAGCCTAGAGCAGAGTTTTTTATTCCAGGTGGAAAATTTAGAGATCCTCCTCTTCAGTGTCTGGAATGACACAGTAATAGCGAAATATCCTCATGCTGCCTTCTTAGTAGAAATGTGTCTGAGCTGTCAACATATCTTCAGTGCTCCGGCTTTGGGTTGTGCGGTTTTGGAATTCCAACTCAGGTTCAGACGTGAAAGTTCAGGCTCTGACTGAAGAATAATCTGCAGTTTTACAACCCCCAGGAGTCAGGGCTCCGCTCTACCCCTAATGCGAGTGTTTAGGTCATGACCCATCTTGCAAACAAGAAGATGTCATCCCTCATGGACTCTGCCAATACAATCTAGCAACGCAGGATTTAGGCACAGCTACAAAATGCTTTCTGTTGTGTTTTAGCCACGTCTAGGTGGGCTCTTTGGGCCTCTAAATAAGAGGAAAATATCACCATGGTTTACCTGAGGCAATGAGAGAAGCTTGAAAGGACTTCAGGCGCATAACACACTACATTTAGGTACCCAGCTTGTTCACATAAAAGTAATTGTAAATCTGATTCACCTCAGTGATATATTAGATATCCTCAAAACCTTCTCAGAGTTTAATATATTCGTTCCAATATACTTAAGAGAAAAATGGGTTTGGGACAATTGAACAGAAGCATGTCTTCAATTTGATATGAGCATTTTTAAAAAACTAATTAGAAAAGAGAAAGTTTGGACTTGTGAATATTTACTTACGACTGAGGTACTCCTCCGATGCCAAAGCCCACCAGGCCCCTCAGCACCAAGATCCAGCTATACACTGGTGCAAAACCACTCAGGATCCCATAGTAGAGCGTCCATAACACGCTGATCTTTAGGCCCTGTATTTAACGAACAAGCGCCAGGAAAAGAGTTTCTGCTGTAACTCAAATTAACAAAACGTAAAGTAGAGCCTCAAATTCCTTTTATTTCATGGGAGGTCCATTCTGGCTCTGCTTAATTCTGCTTCATACATGTGGACTATGACATTTGTGACCACCACGCACTGAAACATCCACACTGTGAAAATCACAGAATATATTCTAATAGGAGCTGAAGACTTACTGTTTTTCTCCCATACTGGTCTGAAATGTTTCCCCAGAGGGTGGAGCTGGACATCATTCCCACAAACACCACCTATGAAACACCAGAAAAAAAATCTTCCCCTTAACAACAAGACAGGGGAAAATTTCCACGTTACAGCAAAGAGAACAAACACAACTTCACAGTGAAACTACAAAATTTCAGCTCTAACAATAGAGCAAAATGTCCAGGTGTTCTGGGTATCGTTCTTTTGCAGTAGAGACTAATAAAGATAATTATTCATATAGTGGGATTTTTCAAAAGTCACTAACTTCACTTCCATTGACTTGAAAGGGAATTTGCTATTGCCCGGGAATGCGAATGAGCGTCAGCAGACTGTTCAAGCCAAGGTCTCTCAGCTTCTGCCAGCAGTGGGCCCATTTTCAGTACTTGCCAGGCTGCTTGTCATCACCTCACCTTTATCTTACCTTTTCATTTGTGAACTGAATTAGATTGGTGATGAATATTTTTGAGCTTTTGATAAATGTAAGAAAATTAATTACAAGAAATGACTGGAGTGCACAATTTGCCCCTAAATGGAAATGATTTTCCTGTTTCTGAGTTGTGGTTTTTTTAGCTGAAGGGTTTTCATAACCCACAAAATAATCTTTCAACTGCTTCACAGCAAGGCCCCACTGAGAGTTGCATTAGCATTACTGAGGGGACAGGCAAGTGGAGAGAGGAGCAAGTGCCTGCGTTGGAGAGGGGAAGCAAATAGGCACTGCTCAAGTCAGCTCTGCAATGAAAAGATCCATTCAGTGACAAACCAGTCTGACACTAGAACGTGCACTCTGGTATTATACACACTGTGAGTTCAGCCCTGGAACATGCTGAGTTCTCTGGTTCCAATGGACATACTCATGAATAAAAGCTGATCAGTGTTGCCTGAGATCTGCAAGACAGAGGTGTTCTGGGAACCCAGCGCTGACGCTCAGCCAGCTCACCTCCAGTCTCTTATTGCCATTCTCAGCAGGTTGTCTCAGCTTTGAATGCAGATAAAATTCGATCTTACAACTTTTGGAAAAGTCTGAAAAAAGACTGAGGCGTCAAAGAAAATATACTGTACCCTTTTCACAGCTGAGACCAAAAAGTATAGTTTATTCTGTAGATGGAGAGAGAAATTTAATCCTGCCCCATGAATGTAATGGCAAAACCCAAGCATGTTTTTCCCCCATCAGCGCATTAAAACCCCAGGAATTCTGTCTGAGAAAGAAATGCATACTCAAGCAGTAAGTGGGGTTAGAAGCAGTTCTGTTTGTCAAAGCTTTTGCCTCGTGTGCACTGACCCCTTCTCCTTCTGATTTTGCTCACCAAGAACATAACTGTGCTGAGCTGAAAGAAGGAACAAGACTCTCCTTCAGATGGGCTGGCTGCACACAGGTACAGGAAAGGACATGATCTTAACTGATTTAAATCTACCAAGCATTTTGACCAATTTACACAACTCCACAAATGGCATCAAAAGCTAAAGGAAATGTAGGAGTTGGAGTGCATGCCACACAACGGTTGCATATGCTGAGAGAAGTGTCCCAAAACTAGTTTTCTTATCCCAAAAGACATTGCATGTTTCCAACATCATAGCACCATCCTTAGACATGGTATTGTAAGAGCTCGGCTTGCAAAGATCACTGGAAGATCCACCTCAAAAAGCACTTGCTTGCTCTCTCTCACGGCTCCCAGTCTGTCTATGTATAAGTGAGTTTAAATGTGGGGAGAGAGATTTTCAAGAAAAATAGTCAAAATTTGCCAATCCATTTTTTTTAATTCACCAAACGGTTTGAATTTTAGGATGAGTCTGAGTCAATTCATATATTTTCCTGGAAATTACATGACACTTTGAACCTGAAACTTGCAAAATTTCCTCAGTTCTCACTGAGTTTCATTTCTTCAAGCTCCGGCTTTTAAAAAAGACTCCTATATTCTTCCAAGCCAAAGGCAATCTGCAAAGGCCACAAACAGATTTAACTTTGGGATATAAAGCATAACGCCTAAATAACAACGAGTGGAAAAACCTTACAGAATACAGGAGCTGTCAGTTATTTTTCCTACCGATGTGAGCAATGCAACCTGCCAGCTTGGTAATCGCCACTCACAATGAAGCTGAGGAGCTAGGATACTTAAAATCATCATTTCCATAGCATCTGCCATCTAGAAGGGTAAAAAAGAAACAAAAATAAGTAAGTGTCAGAAAATTAGATTGACATAGCAGTGGATAATACACCTTCTTGAAATTAACCTTGTTAATGGCTAATGGCTCTGTGCCATTCCCACTCTGTAGGTGAAACTCTGGATTTGTATCAAATATATCGATAGATCATCTGTAGACCAAATTCCACTAGTGACTTAGGATATAAACCATGTCAGATTGTAACCTTATATGTAGACGATAGCTAGTGAGTACAGGCTCCGGACATCGTTACCCTAAAACAGTAGATGTAACATATAGTGCTTCAGAAATAGCAGAAAAGTGAAAACAAAGCCTGTCTTTCTGTTCTTGATATCAAGGTTAAATCTAGAAGTACTGGGTTGCTCTTCACCTGAAATCAAGATTACAGTAATACTGACTAATACAGAAAACAGAGACTGTAGCTAATGGGATGTATGTGGTAAAATCACTGCATGAAAACTGAGATCTGCTTCTGTAGGAATAGCCTGGTGCCCCTTCCATTTGAAACAAGCAGTTGAAGTAGAGAATCAAAATGATTTTTCAAACCCTGATTTATAAGAACTTCAGAGAGAGAGAAATCAATCAGTTATTTGTTACCCCCACATAAAAAGTTTCAGCTGCCATTTTTGTATATCAAGTAAAATTCCGTCTTTATTGTACTATTATCTGTTTGGAGACTCTTTGTCTACGGAGAGCAGCTACACCATTTGAAATCACTGAGATTCTCTAACTGATGATCATGCAATTGACCTTGATAACAATTACTTGCCCATGCTAATCCAGTAATAACAGAGAGCTTCCACTGGAACTTTCCAAATCCAATGGCTTCCACCGCATCTTCCACCATGAAAGTATCTAGGAAGAAAACAATTCTAGTGCAGAAGTGTGTTCCTTTCCTAGCATGAGCCATCCCTCGAGACAGCATTTTCTGTGAATGCAATTATTAACTGGGTAATCTACTGAGATCCAAAATATATAACAGAGAGCAACTTAGCTTTCATACAGTTCCTGCT